CCGCTCCCCTCACCTTGAGCACGCGCTCGAGGATGCGCTGGATTGACTTGCACAAGTCATCTTTGCCTTGCAGCTTCCCCAGCTCCTGATGGAGGAGGGTCTCGAACGTGTGCACTGCATCGTCCATTTGCTGTGACAAGAGGCACATCGTCAGCACTAGGGAGGGACACCAAAGGTGTCCAACTATGGTGGAGGGGCCTCCTTTGGGGCATCATGATGTCAAGATGAGCCTTTACACCGGCAAGGCCCATAACATCCTGGTGTAGCATCTGTACCCTCCACCTTGAGGACCACATGGGGAACCAAGACAGCTGGGCATCAGCTTGGGGCCCTTGGCTAAGCCACCTTCAGCAAGCCCTGGGTGCTACGGTCTGGTACCCTGATACCAACCTGCTCACCAGCATCTCCCAGCACCCACATGCATCCCTGGGGGATACTGGGTGCATCCATTACCTCTCGGCCCCCAGACCTGCCCCCAGCAGCAGTCCTGGCCCCTTACACCAAGGGGTGCTGCTGACTCAACCCACCCACAAGTCTGTTGTGGGGGAAGGAGGGTGCCCAAAGATGGTTCACATCCCCTCTCTGGACCCTGCTCCAGGTTTAGCTGGATCTGGCCCCATATGAAGGCTACTGGCCTTGCTGGTGCCAGTGGGCTCAGATGCAGGTCAAATGGGTCAGCGATGCTGTAACAGGTTTTGTTGCCCAAGAGTGGGCACTCATGCCATGCTGCAAGGGTAGCCCACACTGTTGCACATCTCTAGGCTCTCTCCTTGCAAGCAATAGGATCTCCTGCATGGCGCGGGCTCCCCTGCTTATGCTCCAGGGCAAAGGGGGCAGGCAAATCTGGCACATGCTGCGTAGGACAGCCGGGTGCTAATGGCATGAAGGGCCCTCAGATGGATACACACCCTGCCTAGGCAACTAGAGTTTGACCAGTCTAGTCTCCACGTATGTGGCTCACTTCTGTGCCTCCCCTCATGACTTCCCCAACCCCTCTGCTCTCAGTCCCTAGGAAGAAACAAGAGGACGATGTAAGGGAGGATCACAGCTGGTCGCCAGGTGAAGCAGCTGTCCCCATCCTACCTGTCTCATGTGGATCTGGGCCCTCTGCTTGAAGACAGATGTGCTGGAGACATCAAACCGTTGCTGAAGACCCTCCAGTTTCAGCTGGTCCATCTTCTCATAGCATGACTGCATCTTGACAGGGTGGAAGGCCAGGTGCGAAAGCTTCTCCATGTACTGGGGACAGAGCCACAGCTCAGCAGGACAGCCTCTTTGCATGCTGGGGGCCATCCCCAACACCAGACATGGCAGCCTGGACAGCCACAGGTCAAGCCCATGTCTCCAGCAAGCCGGGGACCTGAACGTATTTGCTGCCAGTAAAGACAGTCCAGCAACTCTGGGCTCCCTCACCAAAGCTTTTGTGGTGCAAGTTAGACTTTTGTGGTGCAAGGATGTCCTCTGGGACGAACCAGAAAGCAGGGAAAGGGGCTTCTCTGCTTATGGCTTAGACAGAGGCAACAGTACAAACTCCCCTCTCTCCACCACCCGCCGTGCTTCAGCCTCCCACATCAGATGGGCTGGGTCTTGCTGCATGACCTGGCAATGCCAGTCCCACCTTCTAGGGACACTTCCTACATCTGCCAGCACTGCTGGGGGCAGTGGGCTTCACCCCTACGGGGTATTGTACTTCCTCAGTCTTGGGACCCACAGCCCAACCCACACAGCGCAGTCCTCACTGGGCATGGCAGCAAGACTGCCCCTCCACTTCTGAGCCCTGTCCAGCCAGCCAGCAAGGAGCCTCCCCAGGCCTCACCTCCACCAGCTTCTCTAGGCCGCCCTCGTTGACGATGTTCATGTTCATGTCCGTGACCTCCTTGAAGAATACCTCCCGCACCTCGGCAAAGCCCTGGCTCGTGGGGGTCATCAGAGCCTCCAGGATGGAGGAGATGTAGGGCTGGACATGGTTACGGACACAGATCTCCGCTTTGGGGAGGACGAATGCTGGGTAGAGAGCAGGGGCAAGAACGGTGAGTCTCCTGCTCTGCTTTTTCAGCCTGGAGCCCTCAGAAAATCCAGGCCCTAAATCAACCCAGAGCATAGGATCTGCCCCCTTTCCCCAAACCCTTCTAGGACAGTGTCAATCTATGCCTCCTCTAGATTTACATGGAAACTCAGGGTGTTCTTACAGGTGGCCTTCTAGTCCGTATTAAATCTGTTCCTCCCCCACTGCCCACCTTGTCCTCCAGCTCCTGGGTCCCTGCTTTTCCTACAGGCCAGAAATACAAACCTTGTGCATGCACCTTGGCCACTCCAACTCCTACCCTCTCCTCCTGAGGCCCTGTGCTCTGCTGTACTGCCTGATCCCACTTGCTATGCCAACAGGAGCCATGCTTCACCCATGCAGAAACAGCTGCATATTGGTAAAATAGGGTTCACATCACACTGGCAACTGTTTCCATGTATACACCCCATCTGTGCCTGCCACAGCCTGGAAGAGTTTGGAGGGCCCTCTGCCTCTAGGGGCTGTACCTCGGATCTTGCTCGCCAAGTGCTCCTTTGAAGTGATGATCTGGTCCATGTCTGTACGGATGGTGCTCTCCATCTGGGGACGTTCCAGTTCACATTTGGTCACCACTGCATCATACTGGGCCTTTGTCTGGTCATAGACCATTCTGTAGACAGCATCTGAGATCTAGAGAGATGGACACAGTCAGCATGCCATCCCGCACATAGTGCTGTAGCCTAGTGACCCTCACCATTAGCTTCCCCACAGGTAGTGAGATGCAGTGAGGGAATCTGCTGAGCCTTCACCATTCTCTAACCAGACTCATCCTTGCAGCCTGGCAGTACATTTTTCAAGTCAAGGCTTCCCATGCTGGACAAGATGTAGCCCCAACAGTACATAAGCCACACCAAAGCAGTACCCAACTGGCACAGAGCTGGGTGCTGCCACCATCAGCAGAGAGGTCTGTAAACATGCCCTGCCTCCAGCAGAGAAAGCTCAGGGGATGCTCCAGGCCTGGGCAGGAGAGAGCCTGGCTGCATTTGAAAGCTGTGGATTGAATTCAGCCCAGCAGAGCCCAGACATTCAATAATTCTGTGTGGTGTAGTACAAATCCCGCCCTGAACCCAGCCAGGAGTTTGCGGGCTGTTACTGATACATGTGATGGTTCTGGTCTAACACTGAGCCCAGACAAGTGCCCCGAGGGCCTCTGCAGTACTCACGGGTATGGGGACATATCCATGGGTACTATGGGAACTGCACTGCCCGAGAGGGTGCCTCCCTGCTGCCACAGCTGCTGCTCTTGCAGCACAGCACCCTTCTCTATTTGGGCATCGGACACGCGAGTTTGCAGCTAGATGCCAGACAAATCCCCCAGATAAAACTGGTCCCTGATAGAGCAGCCCACAGCCTCCTTGCACTCCTCACCAACTGCCACGGCTCGCTGAAGCTTCAGGCTGACTTTGCAGCCAAATTCTGAGATTTCAGGGCCTGCAGGAGGCAGACCTGTTCCTCTCAGGATACCAAGTTTTCCAGCATTAATCCAGGGCTGCGTTGTTAAGACTAAAGCTACTAAAAGGGCAGCATTTGTGTAATTTTAGGCTGCTTCAGTGGAAGTTTGTTATGAGCCTTGCGGAAATTTTCTATTGGCTTTAAGCTTTTAATAGGCAATTCTGAAGAGCACTTGCTCTTTCGCAAGGTTTAGGGGCTGGATTTAGCCTGCACTGCTCTAAAAATGGCTTGCTAAATATAGCTGAGACAGGCTGCACTGCTGGCTTTGTCCGGGGTGTGTGTTTCCTGCTGCTCGAGTTCCTCACCCAGGGGACTCGCTGCCACCGCAGACGTCCGTGGCGGGGGCTGGGGGGGACAGGAGAGGGAGGTAACAGCTGGAAACGGCTGTTTACACTGCCACAATAGGGAACTTTAAAAACCAGCAGTGAAGAATAAGGATCGCTTCTTTTGCCGCAGCCCGGAGAGGGGGCAAAGCAGGGTGTGACACTGAGTCAGACGCCAGCAGGAAACCCAGCAGGCTCCGAGCCCAGAGCCCCAGTGGGGAGAGGAGAAAGGCGTGCTCACCAGCAGCCCCAGGGCCAGCCCTGCCTCCTGGGGCATCCCAAAAGCACGACCAGCCACAGGAAGGAAATCCTATCTCCCCTCCGTCCCGCCAGCCAGGCTGCTCCCCAAGGCAGCAAGGACATCTCTGCGTATCCTGGGGCTTGGACGCCTTCTGAGCAGCCCTCGGACCTCTGCTGCGACAGCTCCCGTGCAGCATGACCCCATACCTGGATCCAGGTCCTCTGCCGCTCCTGCACCTTGCCCTTCAGCCTTGGACCGATGGCACTCTTCAGCTCTGGGACCAGCTCCTCCATCACCAGGTTACTCAGGATCTGTGAGGACCAAGGCAGGGAGCTGTTAATGACCCAGACCTGCCACCCGTGCCTCCGGTCCCCAAAGCCACCTCCTGGCTTGGGGCTGGCCCTGGGCCAGAGGAGAAGATGGGCCCTCACCTGGGTTTCGTTGCCGCACAGCATGTCCCAGGTGCCGTACTGCTCCTTCGACTGGCGGTACATGCGGACGGCGTCCGTAAAGGCTGGGGCCTCCACTTTGGACTCCTCGGAGAACCCTGGAGAAGGACAGGAGAGCAGTGAGTGAGCAAGCACGGCGGGGAAAACGGGCCTCCCTGTACACCTCACGGTACCCAAGCCAGCTGCCTATGGCATCTCCAGGCCACGAGCTCAGAGCATTCCCCGCTTCCCCTACTCCCTCACAGGAGACTGAGGCTGTCGCCGGGGCTGGGAGGACTCATGGCTGAGCCCCTGACTCTGATCAGTCGGGGTGAGCATCAGAGCCTCAGTTTCCCCTGCCCCAGTCCCACCAGCAGCTGCACGGGCTCCCAGTTTGTTCACAGATGCATCACCCTGGAGCTGGATGCAGGACAGGAAAGCAGCCAGGAGTGCTTTCTCAGCCAGACCAGGGGGATCAGTGCGCCCCAAAGGCATGGCTGGACCAAGGTCTTGGCAGACTGGGGGCTCCGTGAGCCCCAGTGGTACATCGGGACTTGGGGGCTCAGTGAGCCCCAACAGCACCATAAGATGATGGGCTTGGCAGACTGGGGTTCAGCGAGCCCCAGTGGCACATCGGGACCCAGGGACTCAGTGAGCCCCAACAGCATAGCAAGACCGGGGGCTCTGAAAGCCCTGATGGTACATCAGGATGTGGGGGCTCAGCAAGCCTCGAGAGCATGGCGGGACAAGGGGCTCTGCAATCCCTGACAGTGCATCGGGACCTGGGGGCTTGGCAAGCCCTGCCGGCCCGGCGGCACAGGGCTGCCTGGAGTAGGCTGGAGGAAGGGAGACCTACGGGAAGCAGCACAGTTTGGAAGGAAGAGGAAAGTGGTTAAAAGGAGTCGGGGATGAGTCACAGCCAGCGCATGGTTCCCGGAGCCAGCCCCACAGGGAGGCGTATTATGCTCCAGCCGGTTTCACTCCCACCGAGATTTCATTGCCATGATTCACCGCAGCACAGCTCACAGCTCAGCCCACGAGAGACTGGGGCTGCTGGCGCGGGGGGGTGGGGGAGAGGGCTCGGACATCCCTCCCAGCCTTCCCCGAAGGGCCACAGCCCCATCAGCAGGATAAAGCGCAAGGGAAAGCAGGACCTTCCAGGAGAAGGGGGCAGCATGCTGGGGACCCACTGTGCTATCTGGAGACCAAAGACAAGAGGAGGAGGAAGAGGAAGAGATCATCATGTGACAACTCAAGCTTGGTGACAAGGGGGTAGCAGATAGACAGGACAGCCTGGCTTACCAGAGCCTGTTTTTAAATGCCCCACGCGCACCCCTGCCTTGCCCCCAGTCCTTCTGGGGTCCAGCTGCTGAAC